AATGTCCGTCCCATGCACTGAACGCGCTCTCCTCCACATCACGAGTAGACACGCCCCTTATTGCTGATTGGCTACAAGTTTGTTTTGCGATTCGGCCCGAATCAGTTTTCTAAAGTGTTTTTGAAAAATCACATACCCTGCCTTTAAGTGAAATGTAAAAAAGCTACAGGTTCAACGCTTCATTGCTAGTTTGGTGTTTTTTAGTCTATTTTGATCTACATTTCCCATTAATACAATACTTTTGTATACAAAAACTTTATTGGGTTATATGGCTGAGCTCCATGTAGGCCTACTCAGTGAACATTACAGCTAGGTTGTGTACAAAAACGGAATGGATTTTAGTTTATAGCTATAAGATAAGTTCTATCTCCCCGAAGACCAAGGATGTGAGCTTACAAACAAACAAACACTAATTAGGGAAGCAATATGTACATGGATGCACCACACACCGTATTGATTAGATACAGATATACATCTTGAATTTGTTGAATATAATGCCAAGTATCCAATTAAGCTTTGTTCTTCTGCAGAAATTTACAAATGCTATTCCTGTTATCTAAACGCGCCACAGACATAAAATCCCGTATCACTATACTGCGCTACAACACACTCGAACACAAAGTTATAGCAGTGACAGTTAAACTTTATCATTGTAAAGCTACGTTGTTAAACCTAAAGCTTTAACTATCATCAAAGCAAGATCAATCCGAGTAGAAACAGCGCTCTCTATACTGATAGTCCAACTATTTTCGGAAGTCATGAAACTTTGTCTTACCCTTAGGGTGACGATTGCTACTTTGTTTTCTTTTCTGCGTTATAATAATCCGGGTATGCGCTGATTTATCTTCAGCCGTCAGACGACCAGTAGTTACCGTTCATTCCGAGTAGGTAGATTATGAAGGGTCTGACTCTGTGGCGGGGTCCGGTTGAAATGATCTGCTGAAGCGTATGGCTCGGGCTCATGGGCGGCGCTGGCACTGCTTTGAATGGGTGGTGCGGATTTCTTCCCATGCACCCATGTAACTGCGTCGTAATCTTCAATCTGAAGAGCTCTGCATTTAGATCCATCTGAGTCAGGCAGAAATATTCAATGTCCCAGACTGGAAGTCCCCAAGAAACCCAATTCTTATTAATGCAAATTCTCACATATGATCAGTGTTGAGAAGGTTGCTTTGGAAATGTAATAGGTTACAGATTACAAGTTACGCTAATAGGCTATGCAATAAGTAGTGTAACTATTTCAATTACTTTATTAATGTAACTGATTACATTTACATTTACTTTTCTAAATTTCTAATGTGTTCAACTGTTAATCCTTTTCAAACATGTAAACCAGGCAGGGTTAACCTTACAGTGATACTCAACACTGATTACTATCACTTTCGAAATCCTTCATCCCTTGAACTAAGATTACAATAATTTCATTTTAAAGCACAGCAACCACAAAATCAGAGTTACTTTGAGATCATTCTGAGTAGGGCTGCACAATTAATCGAATTTCTAATCGCGATTACAACAATTACGTAATCGTTCAAAGCGGCAATTAATCGTTCAAAGTCCACTTATGTTATTCTACACGCTTAAGATGCGTTTTTTTCTTTCTACATGTTATCTTAAGGGTTTTTCCATTGTTTTAATTTTAGTTTTAGTATAACATTATAATACCATTCATATTTTTACTTTTTTTTTATAATTTAAAGAAGAAACCAATCCGATGTATA